ATATATGGCATTTTTAGCGCTGCATAACAAATAGTTTGCTGACCAAAACACAAGCCACCAAATAGTCAATCCACCACAACATTATGAATTCAAACTACACTACATCAGTAAACCAAAATACTCTGTCTGCATTTGAGGTCAAACTACTTAAAATAGACAAGAAAAATGTTCACAATGTCAAATTTGATGCAAATTTTGAATAGCAACTACTTTGCTTCTCATCCATCCCTCTCCCATCCTTCATTATTCAATCTTCAAAGTCCTTCCCTTTTTTTTGGCCTCCTGCATCCTCTTGTTGTAGTACAACACCAACTCCGTGGCCATTTTTTTCCTATACATGGGCATGTCCTTTGACTTGATATCTTTTATATCTAGTCCCATAATCAAAAACTCGGCCATCATCAATACGTACATGCCACAGTTGCCCCTGCATTAATGCAAGACTATTAGTACTTAATTATTATAGTTGTACATATTAATGTCAAAATTTTAATATTTGTCAGTAAAATAATGTACAGGTAAGATGTTACCCGTCTTCTTGTTGTGGGCAGTCCTCCACAGCCTCCAACTCCAACACTTTGTTTTCCATACGCTCCAACCCAATTTCTTCATAAACCCCATGCACATCCATTATTTTTGGGAGCAAGCGTTGTAAGCTCGAAACATAGGGTCTAATGTCTCTTACACTATCCGCCCTTCTGCTTTTGGAATTGTAAACCCGTATTTTCTTTTTTTTAACGTCCAAAACCAGTAAAACCCAGTGGTTGTTATTGTTAAGAGGTAGGTACACGAAATCACAATCTGCCCAGCCCCTAGAAAATGGTGAAGCACTACCCATAATGTCATCTTCGATGACCGCAATGTTTGCTGCGTCTTGAATCGTTGCCTGCCCTTTTTCTATCTTGTCATTCAGCCGTTTCAACATTTGCATAAAAAATGGGCCACTTGTGCTGTAGGGGTAGTTCACCTTGTACTGCACTTGCTTCACATTCAAGTAGTGCATTCCTACAAAAATATGCTGAAAATTTTCCAAAAACAAACAATTCATCAATCCAGCCAAACTAACTGTTATATTTCACATTCAAGTATTACATCCAAACAAACTGTTATATTTCTATAATTATAGTACAAAAACATTACCGTATCATCCAGCCATTCCGGATTGACAAATAGCTTGTATAACCATGTTTTTGATTCTATTTTTGCCACGTCCAAAATAAAAGGTACGCCATGCATGTTGTCCTCTTCTTTGCGGTATTTTCTGCCACCTCCCTCCTTTGTCGGCCGCTTCAATAGTCCGGTTTCAAGAAACTTTTCCACCTTTCTTACTTCTTCTTCCGGTGGATATTGAGATGGGTTTTCAGCAAAAGACCCATACTTTTTCGCCGGTAAAAATTGGTCCTCTTCACTTCTTTTTGCTCTTTCCTTCCGTCTCCTCTTTGCGACCTCAATATTCCCTGCAGGTGTAAATCTGTCAGGTGATCTTGCATTTCGCTTAGGTCTTCCAATTGGTGCACATGTCATCTCCACCTGCAGCACACCCAAAGCAAACACGTTGTACAAGTAAGTTTCACTTTTATGGATTTAGAATCACAATTAATTTCCATTTCACATACACTTTTTTCTTTGATCACTTCGGAATCAATGCTTGTACTCCCGTTCCCTTCTCCTACTCGTTGTAAATGCTCGTCTGCAGTTTTCTGTAATTCACAATTCATATTATTTAATCATTAAATTTTAATGTTTTTTTTCATGTTTTCAAGTATGACTAAAATAAGACTCAAAGAAAAGTGTTACTTACCTCTCCTTTTTGCGTATGCTCCTCTGCAACTTTGTCACCTAATACAAGTTTTTCAACTATATCCACGCTTGTTATCAACTCATTTACAAATTGGGTATTCAAATCTTCCCAAACCTCTTCCTGAATATGCACCCTTCTAGTATCAGTTTCTTGCACACCGCTATTCTGTTCTTCATTTTTTTTGTTGTTGGTCCCCCCTTCTTCTTCCATGTTCCCAGCTTTGCTAACTTCTGTTCTATGAGAAGAATCATTACCATCTTTCTCTTCACTTCTGACTAGTCCACCACTATCCTTATGTCCTTGTTCCACTGTTCCTTGCTTTTCAGGTTCTTTCCTCATCTCAAACACAATTCGGTCACTTCCATTTTCTACTTGCTCTTCCTGAAATTTTTCTTGTGTCTCTGGACCGAATATGGAAAAACTGGGCACGCTACTGATCACTGGATCATCATCTTCTGCACATGCAGTTTGATCTTCATCATTCCTTTTTTCTCCTTCTACATTTTCATCACCTTCTTCTGTATTTTGTTTTTCCTTGCTTTGCACCCTAAGCTCCTCAGTCTCTGTCTGCTCATTCTTGGTCATTCTATTCATCGCTTCCAGTAATTGCTTTACCATCTTCTCCTGCCTCTTTTGAATTTTCTTCAATTCTCTTAATTCTGCCATAATCTTGGCATTTTCCTTACTAAGTTTCCTAACCTTCCTCAACGTCAAGTCCAACTTTCTTGCACTTCCAAAACCCACCCTCCCACCACCATCCTCCTCCTTCTCAGATTCCATATCTTCTTCCTTTGCTTTGGTTTTTGATTTTTTTACAACTTTTGCTGAAAGTTTGGTCTTTACATTCTTTCCTTTTTTCTCAAAAACCTTCACCCCATCAACTCTATTAACAATATCAATTCCATCATTGCTACTCCTCTCAGAACTCAACCTTTCATTGGCTAGTAAGTTAGGGAAATGTTCACCTTCCAGATTTGTAGGCTCCATCATTTTCCACTCAAACTGCACACAAAACAAGAAAAATACAAAATATTAAAATTTAAAAGCAAATGGTTTGTTATTCAGATTGCAACCTATTAATTAGCAATTCTGTCAGATGTACTACCTGTTCATTCTTGAATATTATTTTGCTCAACAACTCCATTGATGGTTTTTTAATGAATTCCCACTTGACTGCCCTTGGTATTCGAGACTCTCTCCCTTCAATCAACTTGCATATCTCTGCCTTTTCAAGCCCTGTGAAGGTTTCAAATGCCCAAACTTGGATGGCAATCAAACATCCTGGCAGTGTCACTCGTTGCCCTGCGCATTTCTTTAAACTCTTTGAATTGGTCCGCATAATATCTACCAACTCAGTCCAGACATCGTCTCCCCACGGGTAGTCATTGAACCCATCCAAGTTATCAACCAAATTCACATACAATGCTGGTAATTCTCTTGCTACCTGGTTGCCAAAAAGACCATGTGACAGTACATGGAGCAACGCAAGCTTCACTCCATCATTTCGTTCTGCTTCAGGGTCCTCGCTATTGTAATTCATTAACGCATTTTGACAATCAGACCTTCTCACCCCGGATTTGTTACCAAAGTATTTTCTCCACAACGTACCCCTGAAATTATCTTCCATATTTGGTTTCACTCCTCCAAATTTAAGACCTAGAGCCATGCAAAGATCGTCTTTCCTTAAAGTAATCAGACTATTTTCAATATGAAAACGAATGGCACCTGTCTCTTTCATGCCATTTACTTTTTTAACGTAGTTGCAAAGAAATCCCAGTTGAAGCTGACCACTAATTGTACGCATTTCTTCCACATCTAACACCCATCCGAATACACTCTTCCTGAATTCAATGAGTTCCTCCTCTTTTAGTTGGTTCTTTATCCTCTTCACCACCTCCGCCAAACTGCAGTATCAATTTATCCTCATGCTCTCTACATTTTGCAGTTGATTCCTTCCAAATTTTCTATGTATCACCTAAATTATCACACAACAATACATTTTTCCAATTAACTATGGAAGTACTATGACAAACATCATGTGCATACAGCCAATCAATGCGTCATATGTGGTACAATTACCATTGGAAACAATTAAATACACTATCAATGTTTAATCAAACATCAGTCCATTCTGCCATTTTCCTCTCTATTATTTTCCAAATGTTTGGAAAAAAATAATACAAAACATTCCACAGAAATCCTTTGCTTGTTTACCACTACTATCAAATAGTCCTTTAATTTCATCATTTTGCCATTAAGATGGAACATATGTACTAATTGACAAAAAACTAGCACCAAACACCCAAACGTTTGTCAAACATCGTGGTCATATGTGGTAGATATACAATTGGAAACAACTAAAACATCAACATTGCCATAACTACATTTTTCACAATATATACATACACTTTTAGCCATTAAGCTTACTATATGTTTTCATTTTTTTGCCAAAACAAGATTTCCATTCCGTTTCTGCCATTTTTTCTTTGCCACTTTATCCATTCATCCAATTTCTCCTTTCTGCCATTTTCCGCCTTAAATAACAAAAAGTTTCACACATATTTGCCATTTATACCGTTACACCAAAAATTGCATTCTGCCATATTTCATTCTATGAATTTCCAAATTGTTGGCAATGTCTACTACAAATTAAAACTTCCATTTCTCAGTCCCACGCCATGAAAACATTTGGCTTTGAATTCGTCCTAAATATCAACCCTAAATTAATTATGATGCTCAAATGTTAAACATACCAGTTCTGCTCTACGCCGCTCTCTCTGTCGTCCGGGCGTCTGATTTGCGCCATCTTTACCGGCCATCTTCGCACTTATTCTCCTTCCTTTTTTCTTCTCTTCCAGATTTTTGTCTTCAGTTCTCCTCTTCGAAATTGAAATTTTGCAATGGCGTAACTGGGTAGACTAACTTGGGTAGTTGCGTTTGATACTCGATTGCCGTGCCTTGCGCCGGAAAAATCTGCCATATTAAATTCGCACTCTTTCCGATAACTATGCGGCCCGTTTTTTCCGAAAAACTGCCGTTAATAGGCGACTAACTAATTGAGGCTAAAAAAGGGAAATCACCTCAATTTTAGTCCTACAAAACATGACTCACGTTTTGAGTCCTATTTGTGCACACAAAGGTAGATATAGTCCTATATAGGTAAAAAACTCATATAAATATCGTAATTCTAATTACAAGTGCTTCTCTTGACGGGACCCGTGGGTCCCTAACTGAAAACATACCGGAGGTCCGGAACCTGCCCGTGTCCAGATCTATAATAAACGGAATAAGAAAAAACGAAATAGTGAAATTTAGTTCAAATTTCGTTGGTTTTTTAAGAAATGTAAAATAAAATTAATTACAGGGGAGATAATTATCAATTTATTTTTCTAATAAGACCGAGGAGTTTGGAAATGGAATAAAGGGTATAATGGTAAATTCGCTATAGTCCCTGGGAGGGACTCCATGGGGTCATGTCCATGGGATAGCTTCCCAGTACCCTGAGAAAGGAAGTGAACTCCTGAACTTCTGCGAGCGCGTTCTGCGCCCTCACATCCGCCATTGATGCCTCGAAGTCCACGTAGAACATGTATTCAAAGTGCTTGGCCGTTCCGACGTTCTCGTCGTCGACTAGCCGGATCGGCCGATTCCGGTGCGGCCGCGACTCGATCTTCGTCAGGCTGATGTTCCGGAAGGCGAAGGCGGAGAGGACCTTGAACAGCACGCTCGTTCCCTTGTCGTGCGCGAAAACGATACTGGTTTTGAAAGGCCGGTCGGTTCTCGGGATGATTGGCTCCCGGGCTAGCATCACGAACCGGGTCACGTTGCTCGAGTCGTCCTGGATTCCCTCTTCTAGGATCTCGAGCCCGTATAAATCGGCGGCGCGTGCGGACGCGATTGCGGCAGTATCACGGAGGTTGTTGGCGGCGATGTACTCCGCGGCTCCGGCGGTATCGTCGACGGCCTCGCGCGCCACAGATAAGCCCAGCTTCGAGAGGGTGAGCTCGCACTGGGCCAGCGCTTGCGGATGGCTAATTACGCGCGTGAGGTACTCCTTACGCACGCCGGGAAGGGCCAGTAAGCAATGGTGTACGGGGAGCTGAACCTCACCGACGATGTGGAGGCGGTGACGAAGAAGTAGATCGTAGTTACGGTGGATTGAACCGCCGAGAGAGTTTTCAACCGGGAGAACGGCGCGGTCAGCAATCCAAAGCTCCACCGCTTGAAACGCCACTTCAAACTGGTCGCAAGGTATAGCTTCACACTTCGGATAAGCTTTCCCAGCGGCTGCTTCGCTATACGCGCCAGGAACGCCCTGGTACGCGACGCGCAGCTGCGACCCGTGCATCGGCGCCGGAGAGAGATCCGCAATCGTCAGCGGCTTGGGAAGGCTACTCTCGAGAGGGACCAGATCCAGCGTCTTATGGCCGTTCACGGTGGTGATAATTCCGGCATCTCCGCCGCTCTTCTGAACATCCTGCTGCTGAGACACAACCTTACTGGCCAAAATGGCGCACGAGCTTTGCCAATCAGCACGAGTTGTCCCGACGTGGCCGCCAAAGTTGGCGCCCGTCGTTGCGGAGTTGGTGTTCGCAACGGCGCTGGCGTTAGCCGGGTTGAATCGGGACACGCATTGGACACCGATTCGAACCGGAGCGAGGTGATGAGCATAGCCTGGGTGAGAAGAAGGCCTGGAACCAATAGCTGAAGACGAAGAAAGGGATTGCATTTGCATACTTAACGATTTCTGTGGTCAAATTAATCGAATTAGTAGTGCTAGATTAGGGTCGATTATAATCTTAATCGGAATATCAATGGAGCCTAGAAGGGTAGCGGCTAAGCTTGTGGTTCTCGGCGATGGGAACGGCCAAGCTGATTGAAAGAGAGAAGATAGAGGGCTTATATAGTGGTAGTTTGGAGAAGACTTGTCAATTGTGTTGGCTATTGTGGTAGTTTGGTCAATCTCACACCTACCCCCTTTGGCTCTCTGTAACGTTTATCAGAGGGTGGTAGGTTTTCTTACAAAATGGAATCTATGCAGAAATTTTATTATTCTTGATTGAAAAAACTCTTGTCTATCTTATTGTTCGTTCTCAAAGAAATCGATTTATCACATGGTAACATTTAATCTCAACATTTATCGTCTCACACTCTCACATGTCACATGTGGTCTCTCTCACTTGGTTAGACAAAATGTTACTTGTACGACTAGATGTTTATGTTCTACTTATATGAGCGTAACGATTCTATATACAAAAGTTAAACTCGTTGAAAGAAAATATCTCTTATTCTTTGTTGTGCTAAATCTCTCATCACAGAAGTTTTAGATATTTATGTTCTTGTTATTTTACGGTAGAATTTTTTCTTCACTTGGATGTGAGTTCTATGTTGACGTACTTGAATATGCGGTTGGAAGTTGATTTTTGATTTTTCTGGTCTTAAAATTTTTATCCATTAGATGTTTGAATTTATGATTTAAAGCTTTAACTTAGTTGTTTGTTAAAGTTGGTGTCGTGTGACATTCATTATCTTAGAGCTTTGTAACATTCATTATAATTGAAGATATTACTATCTTCAATTACTATCACTCGCAAAATAGTCGCATTATAAAGTAAAATGATGAATCAAGCGCACACAATTGTCACAAATTATAAAGTCAAATATAGCACAATGTATTTTAAAACATTCATTGTGACTTTTCATGTATAGATATATTAGTATGCTTCCACGACTCAACAAGCTCCAAAATGTCAATGTATGAATGTATCTCATATTTAAATAACGTCCTCCTACCAAAACATTCTCTAGGAAAAAATAGTAATTAGATTAAAATATTCTAACCTAAACGGTTGCTCGTTAACCGTTCCGAATTCTGCTTGAGGCTTGATGATTTTCGGTTAGGGTTTGGACTTCAATTAAACTTTCACAACATTTCGGAAAAACTCTCCAAATACCAACAATTACGGGTAAATCGTCTGATCAACCATTTGAACTTAATGAATTTGAGTTGAGTTACTATTGGAATATGAGTTGATTATGTATTTACCATACTCGCATGGTCGACCGTTGGTCATCTGCGGTCCACAGAAGGGTTCGTCTTTCGACCACTTCTATGGAACACGGATCCATTTTTTTAAAAACTAGAATAACTACTTGTTGTCCAAATTTTTTTACCGTGACAAATCTATTTTAGTGAAGGAATTGACCTTTTTATTATGACTTAAATCATTATGAAATCACTCATTTCCTTTATTTAGGGTTTATAGCAGTATATAAACTCCTTCACCCCTCGCACTTTAAGCATAATACGATACACTATTGTCTCTAGCTCTGCATTAGTTTTTCTATTCTTTCATGAGTATTGATCCCCTGAAATTAAAGGATAGATTAAGCCAAGCATTATTCATAACTTGTATATATAGCTTCATATAGTTATTGTACCCCATATTCAGTTATGTTTAAATCTACTTTAGTGAAGGAAATTGAACTTATAATTATGAGTTCATCATTATAGAATCATTCCTTGCCTTGATTTAGGGTTTACTAATGGTATATAAACTCCTTCACCCCTCGCACTTTAACCATAACACAATAAACTATTGTCTCTAGCTCTTTATTAGTTTTTCTATTCTTTCATGAGTATTGAGCCCAGAATATTAAAGGGTAGAATAACCCAAGCATTATTCATCACTATGAAATAATAATTATGGAATAATGGCTCGCCCTAATAGAGTGTCCTAGTGTTATATTTATAATAAGGGAAGAATGATAAAGTTACAAATATGGCATGTACTATAGATTATTCCAATGAGCCTAAATGGGAATTCGATAGAAAACTAATCCAAGTCACAATCAGATCGGCTAAATCTCCATGCGCAACACGTTCTCTGACAAAATGGTAATTGATCTTGATGTGCTTACTGCGGTCATGTTGAATAGGGTTGACTGCTAAATACGAAGCAGATACGTTATCATAGCGGAGTTGAACCGGAGTCGAAATAGTGATGCCCATGTCAGCAAGCAATGAGTGAATGAAAATTGTATCCTGGACCGTGTAAGCAATGGAACGATATGCAGCTTCAGTAGAGGACTTGAACGTTGTAGGCTATTTCTTGGACCTCTAAGAAATCAAATTGATGCCCAGAAAAATAACATGACCTGTCGTAGAGCGACTACTGTCAAGAAAATCAGCTCAATCCGCATCAGGATAAGCAACAATAAGAAAAATATCGGGATTGGAGTGGAGCCACAGGCCATGATCCACAGTGCCCTGCAAGTATCTGTAAATACGCTTCACAGCCAAAAGATGAGTTATATATACATGGAGCATGCATGAACTGAGAAACCAAATGCACGTCATAACTAATATCAGGTTTAGTCAAAATCAAATACTATAATGCACCTACCATACTACGATACTCAATAGCATCACTGAGAAGTTCTCCATGAGTCAGAGAAAGAGTGGTGTGTGATGGTAAGGGAGTTCGAACAGGCTTGACAGTGTGAAGATGGAAGCGTCGTAATAAATCGGAGATATATTTATGTTGAGAAATAAATAAAACCTGAGATGTACGACGAGTTTGAAGTCCCAAGAAAAAAACATATATCACCTAAATCCTTCATAGCAAACTAAGCAGATAAAGACTGAATGCTAGTGCGAAAAAAGGATAGAGAGGAGCCAATAATTAAAATGTCATCTACATAAAGAAGAATATACACAACCTGAGATCAACGTTGAAACACAAACATAGAGGAGTCGGATTTGCTCTGGGGGGAAACCATGAGTCAAAAGAAACCCGCTAAAATGATGAAACCAGGCTCTTGGAACCTATTTTTGACCGTACAAGGCCTTTTTGAGACAACACACATGCTGAGGAAAAGATGGATGAATAAAACCTAGAGGTTGACACATATAGACTTCTTTTGTGAGATGACCATGAAGAAATGCATTCTTTACAACAAGTTTGACGAATACCCCAACCAAGAGATACCGCAATAGACAAAACAAGACACACAGTAGTAGGTTTAACAACTGGACTAAAGGTTTCAGTAAAATATATACCAGTGTGTTGCCTAAACCCTTAAGCAACCAAATGAGCTTTGTGACACTCAATAGACCCATTAGAATTATATTTAGTCTTGTAATCCCACTTACAACCAATGACATTTTTAGTGTGGTCCCAAGGTACTAACTCCCAAGTCGTATTTGTTAGTAAAGCATTAAATTCTTCCGCCGTGGCAGCCCGCCAAATAGAATATTTTTGGGCTTGAGAAAAACAAGTAGGATCATCTGAGGGCGAAAAAGCACTTAAATTAAAAATCGTTTTGGGCTTAAAAATACCATCTTTAGCTCAGGTTTGCATGGGATAAATATTGGTCATCGAAGAAGGACTAGGAGCATGTGTCGGGCTGGGCAATGGTTGAGCACGGGCCGAACTACATGGTGAGGCAGAACTGCCCGACAGAGAAGCACTGGCCACCAGATGTGGTGGAGGGTTTATGGGGGAATTGAAAAAGCTAGAGGGGGAATCCAGTGGCTACCTGTTTGAAGAGGAGGAACTGGAGTCGGTTGATGTGGAAGGGTTGGATGATGGGTCATTGGCAACTAGCAGATCGGTGCATGGGGTGACGTGAGGTGACACGGGACGAGGGTTGTCTGGTGGTGAGGGCAAAGGAGGTTGGTTTGCCCTTAGGCTGGTGGAAAATCATGAAGAGGATAATTGAGGGGATGTCGGGCAGGATGTCGGCGGGCAGTTTGAGTATTAAGGAGATAAGGAGAGGGAAAATCATTTTCATGAAACTGGACATCCCTGCTAATATATACCCTACCAGCCAAAGGATCTCAACATCGATAGCCTTTATACCTTGGAACATACCCAATAAAAACACAACAAGGAGAGCGAGGTGAGAGTTTATTGGAAGACTTAGCAATAAAATTTGGAAAAGAAGCACGACCAAACACACGAAGAAAATTAAAATCAGGTGGTTTATTAAAAAAATAAAAGGAGTTAAACGTTTCAAAAGTGGTGCAGGAAGTCAATTGACAATATAAGTAGCAGTGTATAGAGCATCAACCCGAGATTCAGCTTCAGTGGAGGAGCGGGAGACAATAGGGTGCTTCTTGGAACGCCAAGAGATTAAATTTGGGCCAAGAAAAATCGCATATGCAGAGGTAGACCTAGCAGTATCAGGGCAACCAGCCAAATGAGCATCAGAATAAGCAATAACTGCGGTCAGACCCCGGGAGGACTATAGGAGTAAGGCATGAGTGGAAGTGCCCTAAAGATACCTGAAAATACGCTTAAAAGTCAAGAAGTATGGGATGCATGCATAAATTGAGAAACTAAGTGCACATCAAAAATAATATTTGATCTAGTCAAAGTCAAATACTATAATGCACCTACCATACTCTCGTACTTTGTGGCATCATCAAGGAGCCCTCCATCAGTAAGGGAAAGTTTTGTACGACTAGGAAGGAGAGAGCAGACAGGTTTTAATGTATTTAAGTGAAAACGATGAAGAAGATTTGATACATACTTATGCTGAGAAAGAAACATACCAGATGAAATACACCATGCATGTATACCGAGAAAAAATTGTAACTCTCCCAAATCCTTCGTGGCAAAACATTTAGCCAACAGAGCTAAGAAGTGAGTAACCAATTTAGAAGAATTACATGTAACAATGATATCATTAACATATAGCAACAGGTAGATAATATGAGAATTACGCCAAAAAATAAATAGAGTTATCAAACTGGCTGCAAACAAAACCATGAGAGAGAAGGAACGTACTAAATCTGAGAAACCAAACACGAGGGGCTTGTTTGAGACCATAAATGGCTTTACGAAGCCGACAAAAATGATGAGGAAACTAAGGATGAACAAGTCCAGGAGGCTGACGCATA